CTAACTGAAGCGCTGCTGTGCGTGTCGATCTCTTTGTTGCTGCGGTACTTGATTCATAATATAATGCTGTGGGTTTATCCGGTTGAAGAACCTTCGCTCACAGCAAAACATTTTTTTGAATTCACTTTTAAAGATAGGATTCATCCCTACGTATATAAAAGGATTTATTGTATTTGACAGATAAATAAAGAAACTAGAAAGGAGTTCAATATTTCGTGGCATCTTCTCAACGACATGGAAGCGCTTTACAACAATGATGACCCAAAATGGGATCCAGCATATCATGAACGCGAACACAACCACAAAGAGAGACTTACTCAGCTTCAGTTCTTGCACGGTGATGCTTGAGCCTGTTGCGCCGCTGTGAATCGTAGATGACATAGCAGCATTGTGCTGTCGGATCATCTTTGCAACCTTTATGTAGCTGAATATTGTAGTCAATAACGGAGTTAAAAGGAAAAAGCAGAGGATAATGGCTAAGTGGACAACTTTTCCAGTTTGATTGAGAGGAGCCGGAGCGCAAAGGGCATATCCTGGAACGAACGCATAATCTAGGAGACCAGCTAACTTAGGAACTGCACTGTAGCAAGCAATGAAGAACCATGCACATGCCATCCAGGCTCGTGACTTCCACGGTGAAAAAATTTTCTTGTATTGCTGCTCAGACTTACAAATCCTCATATACCTGTCAAACGCTGTTAAACCCATAGTGACGGTTGAAACGTACACCACAATTCCACCAAAAAAGGAATGAAAGAAGCACATCACTGGGCCATAAACCCATTCGCCTGTTATAACCACACCCAATGCAAAAGGCATGACAAATACAGCGGACATCAAATCACTTACAGCAAGAGCTATGATATACAGGCTTGTGGTTCTGCGTAGTCGTGTGTTCTTGTAAACTGCAATGCACACCATTATGTTCCCCGTCAACGATAGAACGTTTAAGATCAGAAGAAAGAAGACTTCCACGCTTGTTAAAAAGAAACTGCGATTGCCCAGAGCGTCTGCCATTGTGGCTGTTCTCACAGAGATTTTCTAAGAAAACAAGAAAACCGTAGAAAGCAATACAGAGTCGGTTGTGGCTTTAAGACCACGAGCGGTTAAATTGTCTATCTGCTGGTTTATTAGTTACCCTTTGTCTACGACACTTAAACTAAACAATTTGAATAAATTCATTATTGCAGGTTGTATCCTCTTCTCAGGTTTTGTTTGCTCTTCCACCTGTTAATTTTTTGAGATCTGAGGCAATATCACTTGATAGTAGACATGTTTACGGACGATGGTTTCAGTTTGGCTTTAATTTGCCATTTCATAATTTTTTCCGTTTGAAGTATTACAAGTGGTAACCGCATTGTTAAAAGCGGTGCGTATGATGATAATGATAATAACAATATGATAATGTTAATCATGATATAATAACGTGGCCCAAATTTCTTTAACCCGACTTTCTTTTCTGCTAATACTGAGTTCGACAAGTAAGTTAAAACAGGTGAAACTATAGTTCTGTTTTATTTTGGTAAGTTAAATGTGACACTTTTCCATAAGATCTGTACAAACATAATATCGATCACAGCACTTTGAATTGTTAAATTTGACACTGAAAGTCGGGGATACGTAAGGAAAGAGAAACAAAATATAACCCACCATGACTTGCGTTTTGAAAAAAGAAGTGTCACAAGGAAATTCGGGCATTACCTCTACATAAAGTAAGCTCTCCATTTGGCCCCGGTTGTTCAATGTTGGATAGCGCTATCCACTGAATAACTCACCATTGTTATGCTTCTGAATAGATATTTATCCAGTGGATAGTTATTCACCTTTTGAACAACTAGGCCCTGGGGGAGGCCCTAGGGAGATATCGTGAGAAGTCACGCGCAACATACATACATACTCTTTTAAACCTCTGATGTACAACAACACCCCCCCCTCCACCCCACCAGGTTTTTATGAATTTTTTTCTCCCAGACGATCAAACATCAGTACCTGACGTTTTCAGCAGCTGTTTTTTCAACCCTCACACCCATTTTGAGACACGTTTAGTAATAATCAGTTACTATGGTTACTAGATATGACGTCATAAGTAGAAGGTGATCAAGCCATTTCAGAGTGAAAATGCATGTTTTTCAACTTGTTTCAACGATAAAAGTAAAGCTTTTGGATAAAGTAAAGCAAAGTACTTATGAATGTGTTATTTTCCTTGTTAACCACAGGAGGGTGTGAATGGAGTTAACCGACTAGCGACAAAGGGCAAAAAATATTACCGACTACCGACAGGAAAATTATTAACCGACTGCCGACATGGACCGGCATTATCTATATTTTTTTCAGAAAGAAGAGTATATTGTATTTTTTCTATCTTTCTAGGAAGTAACCAAAGATACCACGTCAGAAGTCTTTTTACAAGTCAGTACCACAAAACGAGGATATTGACACGGTTTGCAGAGCGTATGCCAAAAATTTCTACAACCCGCCTAGTCCTAAACATTATATGCGACAAATACTTAGATAAATCCTCAAAGAAAATTCTTTCCAGTTCAATGAAAAGCTCCACCTCCAAACCCACCGTACGGCGATGGGCACAAAGACAGCAGTTTCCTCTGCCAAAATTTTCATGTCATATATTGAAACACAAAGTCTAAGCAGCTAAACCGTCTTTAAACCAGACATCGTAACTTTCTTCGAAGAAGCAAACTTACATGATCCTACTATTGAATTCACCACCGAAATTCACTGAGACAATGTTTTTGTAGGGATTTGATTGTCTTTGTTGGCCCTGGGGTAGGGTATTTGACTGATCTTGTTCTCCCAGCTGGGGGAGGGGATATTTGAATCTTTCTTCGCCCGACGTGGAAATATTTGACTGCCGACTTGGGCGAAAAAGACTGAGACGGAACATCTGTTTCCCACTTCCACGCTTCACGCATGCGCCTTACGGTTTGAAAAGATCAGGAAGTCATGGAGGCCAATGAGAACAAGCGAAGGCTGAGTGAATTTCACTGTTTTGTCTTCAAATTTCGTTTGTTTTAGCGTGTTTTTGATCAATTGAACCTCTTAAAATACTGTGGAATCAAAGTAAACGAAAGTAAAGAGAAACCAAGTCGATTTTTGCAAGTACAATTGATTAGTGTTTGGCTCATTCGCTACAATCAGTGTAAACTTACGAAACTGACTTTTTTTGCCCTTTACTAAGAACGGTATATTTAAACTTACAAAATGTGGACTTTCTCCTAAAGGTTTATGTATTCTACGCAGTGTAACACAGATTATGGTTAAAACGTATTATTGCAGCTGTAACGGGAACATGTATCTTTGGTGATGCAGCAACGTTAAAAGATTGCAGAGGTTTATTTGGAGATATTTTTATTGTGTCTTTCTTGGGTTCTGCCTTGGGATTGACGGCAATGTGCAGCCTAAGGTGGGGGAATTTGGTTGCATTTGACTGGAATGATTTGCCCGTGGGAAGGAAATTTGATTGCAAATTTTTGAAAAAAGTCAAATCTCCACCCCACGCTCTGCCTCCCTCCCCCCCGGAATTACATTGATAGGTGGATTATACCCAGTGCTGAAGCTTGTGGATTGCAGGACGACGTGATTGTACTTTGTTTGGCGTCGTCGACGACACCACGACGACGAAATTTACTGGTCGCGCTGGCGCAGTACACTGTAACTCACTTCTGGTCGTGGTCGACAAAGTCGTTGTCGTGGTTCTTCAGTTCCCTAATACCAGCCCTTAGTGTCTACTGTAAAAGAAGCTTTCATGGAAAAGTGGAATCTCATACAAAGACAACCGCTACGTTGCTAATTTTTTAAAGAACCACCCCTTATTTCCTCAAAGAAAGGAAAACCATGGCAAAGAACACGCTTGTTAGAGCCAAAATATTAAAGGTCAACAGACGGTTTCACGCCGGTATAGATATGCAAACCTGTCAACTCTTGCAGTTTTTCACCAAAAATGATTTACGTATCCAAAAGGTTAGACTGAGCGTTTCCCTCTGTATCCAGTTAACCTCTCTTCATTACTTTTTATGGTGCCCTGTAATCAACAGGGGAACCAAGTTCGCATTTGCAATAAAAGATTTGGTGAAATACACTATCATGTTGCATAATGATGTTTAAGTTCAATCAAATGATGCATTTTTACAAGTTTTACATGTTTTATAGGGATCAAAGTCTTGAAACTGAGTGAAACACATAACAAATATTAATAATTAACATGCATTTTTACTTATTAACTGAGATTAACCGACAACCGACAAAGATCGAAAATTTTAGCAGACCACCGACAAAGTAACCAAATTTTAACCGACAACTGACAAGTGGACCCCTCCCCCATTCAGACCCTCTTATAAGTGGTAACCGTACTGTTAAAAGGGGTGTGTATGATGATAGTGACAATAATAATATGATCAAATCACTCTTTGTGTGTACTTAGACCAATATTATTTGAGACTAAATAAATATCTTATCATATATTTGTATTAATAAGTCTCTCTCCATTACCCAGCTATTTTAAGGGCGCGGGAGGGTAATTCGCGCTTGAGAAGTAGCCTGCGTGGGAGGCGCAAAAAGGGGAGGGAGAGGGGGGTGGGAGAAAGGCGCGATATTCAATCTCCCAAATCTCCCTCCCTTTCTCCCTTAATCCCTAGCTATCCCCTACCCTTTCGACGCCAGCTACGCAGGATACTTGAGAAGTTGAAGTCGAAAGCAAGCACACAGGCAAAGGAGGCTTTCAATTTATAGACATGGATTTGACGCCTACAATTTGCGTAGCTGTGCCCACAGTATAATGTTAAACTCAGTTAATTTGCCGAAATACTCTTTAGTTCTCGCAAAAGAAAGCTCAGATGTTAATTATCAATTCTTACCTTACCTCCAAAACTTTTTAAAACTTAAGTATTGCTGGATGTCATAAAATTACAGATACTGGGGTTATCAGTATTGCAAAAAGTTGCAATAAGCTGCAGTATTTTGATATGTCATTCAGGGGAATGCAGATAGGCTTTGGTAGATTGTGCTTGAAAAAAAAGCATATTATGCTTTTAGCAGTGCTCATATTTTTTAGAAATTATGCTTCCTGTCACCGAAATTATGCTACTTAGATTTTACACTGATTTTAAGGAAAATAAAGATCATCAGTAGCTTAACTCTATCAATTTTGACTTTAATGAACATTCATATAGTCCACCTTCCAGTCTTTCAGTCTTTAGCATCGCAAATACGCATGTGCGCACCTCGAAAAGCCAAATGATTAACAAATGATACCAAAATCAACCGTTTCTGGGTTCTGAATCCGGGTCAGAAAGTTAAAGCCTGGATACTTGTTTTAGACGCTATCCAGGCAAAGCCCTCAGTTCAGTATAAAGACAACTATGCATGTTGTTAATCTCTGTGTTATCGGTTATTATACTGAAGCCTCACACAAGCCTATAAATAGTCCACGAGAGCATGGTCTTGTGAATCGTTGAACGATGAGTTAAGAATAGAGAATACTCGTTCAGCTGCTGCAGACGAGGGCCCTGGCACTAGAAGTGGTGGAAGTGGTGGAAGTGGATGTACTCGAGGACGACGCCAACTTTGATCTGAGGCTTGAGGGGCCAAGTCGCCGAGCCATAAGCGTGGTGGCCTGAGGAGTCTCAGTCTTCCAGGATATGCACAGGGTGACCTCTGCCGCCTACCATATTTCACCATGGGCCTTAGCACAGACCTCAATATTTTCCAAAAACAATACAGAAATAAAATACAAACTGAATTATTCTAGAGCTATGATGGGTTTTTTTGTTTTCAACGCATAAAAGCCCGGATTATGCTAGCAGTGCTAAACTGAAATAAAAGCTTAAAATAATGCTCGTTTTGCTGAATTGTGCTTAAAATTATGCTAGCACAATCTACCAAAGCCTAAATGCAGACATCTGCTG